CTGCCCCTGCCCCTGCCCCTTTGTGGCTTGGAGCACCCTTACCCTAGTCATCTTTTGTACCTGTTAGCTGTCAAATTCAAATTCCTGGGTTTGAGTTGCCCAGATCCCCTCCCTCAGCCAGGCCCGCTCTCGCACACAGGGTGTGTGCTTCTTTACCTACTTTGACTTGGCTCCAACTTGCTCTGCAGCGCTTGTGTCTTTTCCTACCTCTGATAAAACTTTGCTACCATGTGTGCTTGTCTTGACCACTTCTTTGCTTAGGACAGAGAGAACCTAGAAACCACCTCCACAAGGAGACTCGAAAACCCTGGTATAAAAAGGAAAGAAACTGTACCCTACTAAAAAGACACTTGTTTTTGTTTTTGGTGGTGGTATCAGGGATCGAACTTAGGACCTTGTACTTATTCCACTGAGCTCTCTCCCCAGCCCCAAGACACACATTTTTAAGTTTACAAAAAATTCATTCTTTAGCCAAAAACATTCTTTTTATTCAATTTTTGAGACAGGGTCTTGCCAGGTAGAAGAAGTTGGCCTTGAATTCACTGTGTAACCCAGGCTGGCTTCCAACTTGAAGTGATCCTCCTTCTTCAGCCTCCTAATGGCTGGGATTACAGGCATGCTCCACCAAACCTGGCTGGCAAATAGTGTGTGTGTGTGTGTGTGTGTGTGTGTGTGGTACCAGGGACCGAACTCGGGACCTTGCATTTGCCAGTGCCAGGCAGGCACTTCAGCTGCTGAACTATATACCCCAGCTCTAATAGCTTTTTTTTTTTTGCAGAACCAAGGATTGAACTCAGGCCCTTGAGCTTGCCAGGCAAGCGCTTATTCTACTGAGCTATCTCCCTGGCCTCCTAATAGTTCTTGAAAAGAAAAGAAAGAGGACTAGCCAAGTATGGTGACGCATGCCTGTAATCCCTGAACTCTTGCTGAAGCTGAAGCCGGATTGGAAGTTTAAGCCCAGCCTAGCATGACTCTCAAAATACAAAAGGGCTGGGAATATGGCTCAGTAAAAGGCTCAGCATTTAATCTCTGGTACAAACAAACAAACACAACCGAGGGCTGACAACAGAGATCTGACGTGTGGGAGAGGTTACTAAGATTTCCATACTGTATTTTCATCCCTGTAACCTTTTGAAAATATCTTCTAACTTAGTCATGGGATCCTGAATAGACTTTTGTTTTCAAAGCCTTCTGGCCAGAACTTCCCTGTGGGACCTTTCCTCCCCCATCCTATACCCTTTTGCTTCTATGTCACCTCACCTAACCTTGTCCTTCTGCTGCTCCTGAAGGGGACAATCTCCTTTCCCCTCGGAAGGCTTCCTGGGTGTCAGAAGTCAATGTTAACCCCTGGGCAGCTCCCCTTGTCTTGGTGCTGGGGAAGATCGGGTTAAGCCACATCCAGGCCACAGCACAGGGAGGAGGAGGCGCACAGCAGGCCACGAAGATCAGAGCACAGCCAGGCCAGCCCAGCTGAAGCAGAGTGGGGGGGTGAGGCGGGAGGCCAGCTCCACAGGCTCCCAGGCCCTGTGGGCAGCAGCAGGGAACACGGAAGCTTGTAAATGCCAGTGGGAGAGCAGGAGTGAGCAGTTCTGCAGTTCTGAAAAGCTGATTCCTGTCTGTGGCTACCCTACCGTCAGAGCGCATGGACTGGAGGGGCTACAGGGCGGGCACAGGAAGACCCCTTGGGAGGGCATGGACGCCTGCCCATGAACACAAACTGTTGCCCGGTTCATGCTTTTCTGTGTCCTTTTGTGAATGTAGATTTGTACCTTAGATAGATGTGTGGACTCACACTGACTTGTTCTCTGGCTGTTTAATATGACTCATCTCCTTTGTAAACAGTAAAGTAATTGAGGGTGAAGAGTTGCTTGGTTTTTTCCCCCTCTGCTGTAAATCCCTATGACACTTAACACAGGGATGTTTAGAACATGATTATGTGGCACCTTTAAAAGTTCACCCTAAAAAGAAATAAATAAAAATAAAATAAAAGTTCACCCTAAGGTAGCCTTAATTAGCATTATTTTTGTTCAGTTTTGAGACAGGGTCTAAATTTTTTTTTTTTTTAGTGTGTGTGTGTGTGTGTGTGTGTGTGTGGCCAGCTCAGCCCACCAGGGGGCGGGGCTGGCTGGCATGTGGTGCTGGGGGATTGAACGGCGGTCCCTGATGCTTTGCTAAGCTTGTTCTACTAGGTGCTTTAGACCACTGAGCCATCTCACCAGCCCCATTGAGACAGGGTCTAGCTACCTGGTTTGGGCAGGACTTCAACTCACTATGTAGCCCAAGTTGGCCTCGAACCTGCGGTAATCTACCCGCATCAGCCTCCCAAGGGCTGGGACTGCAGACATGTGCCCTACACCCGGTTTATTAGCATTATGAGGTTTCGCTGTGCTTCTGTGGTCTAACTCTTGGACAAAGGGGTCACACGATGCAGTGAAAAATCTGTATGTCTAAGCTTTTCCTACTCAAGAGTGTGGTCTGTGGAATGCCAGTTGCATGGCTGTCACCTAGTAACTTCTTAGAAAGGAAACCCTCAGCCCTTCCCCAGGCCCAGTGAGTCAGAATCTGCACTTTAGCACCACTGGCGGGGGCTCCCCCCATGAAAGGTGAAGGAGCACCTGGGTTTCTAAGCAGCGTCCCTCTACATTTGTGCGGGGACACGCACACCTGGGATGGGGCGTCCCATCCCCTCTGGCATGGGTGTCTGTACCTACCGTTGTTTCTCTGCCAGGCCGAAAATTCCTGGAAGGCAGGGACTGAACCCTAGGTACAGCTCTGAACCTCTCCCAGTGTAATCAGGCGCCTGGACAAGAAGCAGGAGCCCGGGGTTCCCTTCTGTTTGGGTTTCAGGGTGGCAAGTGTTAGGCCTTCAGTGAAGGACTCTCCAGTCTTTCCACAAGGGCACCCATGCTACCTGTTGAAAAGCCAAAGATGGCAGAGGCTTCTTTCACCTATAGGCTGTTTCTGGCTTCCTCTTCGCAAGATAGGCACGTGACAGATGGGAGGGAGGAGATGGTGGGGAGCAGGAATTTGGGCTGTCATTACCCTGACAGATCACCCTGTGTGGGAACCAAGGCCAATGGAAACCCAGCGGCCTCTGCAGTTGCCCCAAGAGACAGCGGTGGTGCTGCTCCCATTTTTTTTTTTTCTGCTCCCATTTTTACAGGTGAGATAAATGGCTTTGTGACTTGCCCATGCTCCCAGAAATTTACAGGCTCCTGCCCGTCAGCATGTCAGGTAGCAGAGTGCAGGTGGCTTGGCGTCCGGCTGCTGGAGGGTCAGAGACAATCAGAGATGGAGACCTTCCACAGCCCATTCTGTACACTCCCAAGGCTTTTCCAGAATTGTACAGCTTTGCCTAAAGTCCTCAGTGCAGAAAGCAAGCCAACATCATACGGGAGCTCAGGCTCTGCAGGCTTCCTCTGCAGATGGGGCTGGGAGGGACCAGCGGCTCCAGCCTGGGCAGCTTCCAGGGTTCAGGATCCTCCAAGAGGCCCTGGAAGCCTGGAGCACTGCTGTAGCCCTCACTCCGAAAGTCCATGTCCTAGAGGGTTGCCTCCCTGCCTAGAGGGACCGGGTCTCAAGGACCCCTGCAGACATCATGAACAGGGAATAGCAGAGAGTCTGTGTGTCTGGGACACAGCAAGGAAGGAGGAGGAAGACAGATTGGAGGGGGAAGTCGGAAGACAAGATTTCTCCACGGTGTGGAGATCAGACCTACCAAAGAGAAGCCATAGGCCTATTCCGTATGTATGGCTCAAGAGTAGGAGATGATTTGTGCTATCTGTTTTCTTCATGTTTACTTTTATTATCTTTTTATGTATTTAGCACAGGATCTACAGGGTCTCACTACACAGATTGGACTCGTAGTAATCCTCCTGTTTTAAGCCTCCCAAACTCTGGGATTACAGGTGCATGCCACCACGCCCAGTCTCAATCACCTTCTCAGCGTGCCCCAGGGGTGAGGCCGGCCTAGAACGCTGGGGATCAAACCCCAGTCCCTGAGCCTGCCTAAGCTGTTTTCTTCTTTAAAAGACATAATCTTGTTCTGTTGTCCAGGGTGAGACTAAGTCACTAAATTGCTCATTTGAATTTATGGTGGCCTTAAGTCAGTCTCCCAGAATGCTGGAATTAATTAATTAATTAATTAATTAATTAATGCTGGGTGTGTGCCATCATGCCCAGCAATATTTTTTGTTTGTTTTTAAATCTTTTACTTATTTATGTATTTAGTACAGGGTCTAATTACGCAGCTCGGACTTGTAATGATCCTCCTGTCTCACCCTCCCCAGCTGGGATTATAGGCATGCGCCACCACGCCTGATTTCTGTGGCCAGCACAGTATGTGTGTACGTGTGGGGGTGTTGGCATGGCATGTGGTACCAGGGATCAAATGCAGGTCCTTGTGCTCACCAGGCAGGTGCTTTGATTGCCAAGCTATCTCCCTGGCCCTTACTGTTGTTTTTAAAAGACAGGGTCTGGTGATGTAGTTAGTTTAGGCTGGCTTTGAACTCAATATGAAGCCCAGGTTGGCCTTGAACTCCAGGCAATCTTCCTGCCTCAGCCTCCTGCATGCTGGGGTGATGGGTGTGCTACTATAAGCCAGCCTCCAGCAGTAATTTTGTTTTCTTTTAATGGTGGTAGGAATTAAACTAGGACCTGCAACATACCCTCAGCCCTGATCTGTTTTCTTTTTTGCTTTTTTGTTTTGTTTTTTGGTTTTTTTTTTTTTGGTGGAACCGGGGCTTGAACTCAGGCCCTTGCGCTTGCCAGGGAAGCGCTTATTCCACTGAGCCATCTTCCCGGCCCTCTTTTTTGTTTTCTTGCAGTGCTAGGAACTGAACCCAAGGCTGTGTGCATGGCAGGCCAACACTCTGCTCCTGAACTATATCCCCCTCCCTCCAGCAGTTTTCTATCCAGAAAAGGCTGGGAGATTTGGATGAGAGGGAAGGAACTCAAAGCAAAAGCCAGGCAGCTCTCTGTCAAAGATGTGACACTTCAGCTCTGACGCTTTTTCTAAAAGAAGTTTATCAACAGATTTTAGCATGGTATTCCAATTGGGCTTCTCTGTTAGCCCGTCATTACTGAATGGTTGATTACTAAATGGCAAAAGAACTCTCCTTCCGATTCCTACTGCCTCATTCCGAGTGCAGGATGCTCTTCATTGTCATTTTCATCTGTTCTCCAGCTGAGGTGGTGTAGCGCTTCCTCTTCGTTCTTCCTCCCCTCCTTCACTGCTGGCTTGGAGGCTGGACTTGTCAGCAAAACTGCAAAGCCAAAAAGGGAACAGAACTTGAGAGATTTCCCTGTCATCCAGGGAGGCTGTGTGGGAACAGGAGAAATCCAGGCGGGGTCTGAAGCCACACATGCCAGTGTCCAAATCTCAGCGCAGCTGTGATTAGCGGTAAGTCTTCGAACAGATCACTGATACACGAAATGGGACGGACCGATGCTAGGGATACAGCTCAGCAGCCTAAGTGTCTGCCTGGTAAGTAAAAGGTCCTGAGTTCGAACCCCAGTACAAAAAAAGAAAGAAAAAAAGGCAGAGAAGAATGGCAGATCAGTGCCAGCCAGGGATGGGACAGGCTCTCGATTTAAGGCTCAGAACATTTATTGTTACCAATGACTTGGTTACATTTCAGGTCTCCCACATGGCAATGGACACTCACTGTATACCGGCCGAAGCCACAAAGCTGTCACCTCTAGTGGGCTGCGCCCCTCCACGTGCTGGGAGTCAGGATGGAAGAGCTGGGATTAGAGGATGCAGGAGGTTCTTTTCTCAACGCTAACAATCATGAGAGCTCGCATTTCTTGGGCACTTAGCTGGTGCCAGCAGCATTAACATGTTTTAACTCCCTTCATCCTCACCTTGTCCCTAGAGGGAATGTCCCATGCTGCTTCCATTTTTCACAGCTAAGGAAGCGGCTCAGAGAGCAGCTCCGTGACTTGCTCAGAATGCCGTAATACTAGGAGATGATATGCTCAAAATGGTCTGTATGGTTGTCCAAGTTACAGACTGCACAAAAGGGCCTGGCCCGGGGCATAAGCTGAGGCTGCAATGCTGCCTGTGCTCTGCTTGCCTTGTATCCTGGGACAAGGCTGTGCTGGCCCAGAAGAAGAGCAGAAGGGACAACATTTTCTAATTTGACAAAGATGCCTTAAGAGCTATCAGGGGCCC